GCATTAAACTCTCTTGTAAAAAAAAAAGGTAAATGAAAGAAAGGAGAAAAAACTGTCATGGCATTTATTTATATGATTTCGACGAGAGATATCTAAAATTACAATATACCAGGGATCAGTCGATCCATAAACGCTCTTTTACTCGTGCGTACAAAAAGTGAATGTCAAACAAAGAAAAGAAGCAAGTGTCAAGCGAAGGTCAGTCTTATATATTGGTATAAATAATGATCTTTTAACTAATATAACAAATGAAATACAATTTATTATATACTGATCCTCGGTAGTTGTTATTGTTCCTTCCCTTGTTTTTCTTAAAATTAATCTCTTCAATCATAAAATTTAAATTAAGATCAAATTTATTAAAAAAATTTACAGATTGTGAGAGAAAAAAAGATGGAAAGGATTTTAATTAAAAATATTAATTAGTGTCATTAAATTTATTAGTATACATAAAAGCTAGATGAATATGTGCTAAGGACATGTTGGCTCCTAAAATGCCGTAAATTAGTTATATTGTAATAACAAAATTACATTTGTATCACTTTAACGATACTGACTAATAATTTACGTTTATAGTAAAAATAACACAAGCAGCCAAAATAGAATTTAGTACAAAGTCATTTGTATGTACGTGTGTATGTGTGTGCGTGTGTATATGTGTATGTATGTATGTATATAATATATATAATATGTATATATTGTATGTAAAATACCAATTAGTTAGTTAATACTGATTACAATAATCTTCATCAGTCTTTTGCGTTGTCTGGTAATTAATACATACAGAGTCTAAAGTTTTTAATTAAAATCACTGACAAACAGATGATTTTATACAATCAAAAGGAGCAAACGTTTTGGACAAGTGCTAGTTTCGAAGCTACATTGCGCATGGTCGATAGATTAATAATATCATTGAGATGCTTTCTAATCTCTATTAACTTATAACATAAACATTACTATGTTAGGCACACTTTAATATCTCATAGCTATTATTTCTATGATTTCTGCAATTATGGTTATCCTACGGACGTTAATGTTTATTTCTGAGACTTGTGCATTTGCCACTGTGTACGTGTGTGTATGTGTGCCGATGGTAAAAGTTTAAATTATTTCAACATTATTGTAAAATAGTAAATATATCAATATTCTTTGTTCTTACATACAAATGATTTGCGATAAATACGTTCTCCATTTTTCTAGACATATACGTTTCTAATAACGTTCGATATATATGTCTAAAGAAATGTCATAAATTTTTCATTTTGCATTTGTATACACAAGACTACAGAAACTTACATAATTTAATTGTGGTACTTGAATTCGTGAAATCGACAAGACGCAGTGAAATTTTTTTCCCTTTTACTTGTTACATATAAATTTGAAAAGAACACTGTACACTTTTTCAATGTACTTAAACGCATGTAATATTATTTAATAATGTGTCCAATTGGTATTAATTTTAAGTTTTATTTAAAAAATGTTTCTCCTTTAAATGGAAGCAAATAAATAAGTAGTTTTACATTATTATAAAGCTTTTATTCTCATTTAATTCTTTTTCCAATATTATCAAGAGTTTTTTCAATACTGGAAAAAAGAATTCTAGTGAAGTTCAAGAAAAGTTTTTTCACAGTTTTAATGTATCACATAATTGTTCTTAATCCGTTATTTCTTTTCAGAAATAACTTGTTACTCAATAAAACGTAAAATTAATCTTTTTGGTTTGGTCCCAAATATGAATAAACTTAGCGCTAAACATGCACAAATATTTTTTGTAGCAATAGACTGTCAATAGCATATAATACAATGAAGCATGAGAAGATCAATATCAGAGTTCACTGACATTACAAGCTAAATTATTGACAGGATAGAGCTAGCTAGCTTCCATTCCATTTTAATTATATTATTCCATTTTAATCGAGCTAAAGATGTTAAGATGCGCTAATTTTGTTACATCATTGATACATAATGTACAGAATTTTTTGTATACATTTGATATTATATATATTATTATATATACATGTATACGTATATATATTTCACGGGGCACCGTCGATTACGAATAGGAGTACGCTTTCTTTCCTTTTTTTTTTTCTTCGTAGAACACAGAAAATTATTATAAATTTAATACAAGATTACTACAACATCGTATATATTATAAGTATTAGAGACTGTATTTTGTCGAGAGAAAGAGATGAGGAGGCATTGAAAACAGATGCCAAGACTGCGCGCGCGCGCGCGCGTGTGTGTACTCAAATATAATATACACTATTTTAAGGTAATATTAAAATCAGAACACAAGTTTGCAATTAATCGTAACACAATTTGTCCATTCTGCACTCCGAGGAAGATTATGCAGAAATAGTTCTATTCTTTCATTTTTTTTTTTTTTTTTCATTTGAATCTGGCAAAAATTAAGAGGAATGATGGATTACTTTGAACGCTCTATCTCTTATAATGACACATTGTATATAATTCGCAAAAAAGATTACCAAATCGCATATATAAACGTATCACATGGAAAAATAGATCAGACATTACATCATGGCACATCGTTTAACAGGCACCTCGTTATGCATGTGCCGAAATTGATCAACGTTCCATTGGTAATCTCTATAAACAGGATCGTATACATTTTCGACTAGTTTTTTGTTTCTTTTCTTTTTGCTTTCATATGGCATGTGACATACATTTTTGGCAGATATTGGCAGTAATTTGATATCAAATTTAATAGGATATGTTAATATTTAATTTGTATAATGCATATTGCTTTTTTGTGTTTTTTTTCACATCATTTTTTTTTATGAGAAGCAAGCGAAAATAGAGAGAAATAGCAATCTGCATTCTCTCTCAAGTATGTAATTTCACATGCATTACATTATTACATACCGAAACATCGCTAACTTAAGGTATCGCTGTACACTAAATACTTGTGACATCATTCCTCTTTGATTATATATTTGTAAGCACAATAAGAATGATTGCGGTCGTAATGAATCTACAAGTATTTATTAATCAATGTATGATGAACAATATTATGAAAAATGCCTCCTAATTGATGGCAGATCAGTGTGCTGTGGTTTCGCTGTAAGTAAAAATATTAAATCACTAGGTAGGTATGAACATAAAATATTTGAAAAAAAAAAAAACATCTAGCTTTACGGTATATTAAGCAATATAATCTCGTATATATAGTACAACAACGAAAAATAAAAGATAACACTTCACAATTTTGTGTAATATCATTAGACTGTAGACTTCAATAACAAATATTTGATTGCCGACATCGGCTTGATATACTTCATAATCATCAATATGAAGCAATTCTATTGCTGTTTAACTGAGTGTAAGTAATCTTGTTGAAATAACTTCGTTATGATTTACGCTTTGTTATAATTTTCATATAACATGAACAACTATTACTTTTCATCTATTTCTATACACTTATACATCTTGTAAGACATTTTTCATGATTGTAACACTATGTAAACTTTACACTGTGGTAAACAACAAAATATCTTAATGTTAGATATATAGTATTTCTTGTTTTTATTGAACGCAGCATATATAACGTGTAGTTAACATGCAATTGCAAATTGAGGCTAACATTTCTCTTTACGTTTTTGAATTTGTTAAACATGGAAATTTTTTATTAATTCGAAGAGTACCATTTAGCCACAAATTAGAAGTAAATATACTAAAAAAAAAAACAAATTACGCATTGACATATGTTACTTTCAATCACAGTTTCTTTGCAGTTTACAGATATAGTACATCCCATTAACTGGTTAAAGTATAATTTTCTCTTTGTATGGATTATATAACATGCAATATAAAGGAAATGCCCTTTATCATACACCATTGGGTTAATGCTGAGAAGATACTCATGTATCTTAATACTTCAGTTTGCATTTCAAATTTATTTAATTACTAGCTTCTTTTCGATTTCGTGAATTTCACTTATCGAAAATGTATATAACTTTCAGACTGTTTTATAATTTTTTAGATAATAAATGAATTTAAATAAAAGTATAATAGTAACATATAAATATAATAATAAAAATTTAGATGCTTTCATGAATACATAGTATCCAAAAGCAAAATGAAATTTTAAGAGATATGAGTATACTCTTAAAACTTGAAAGTGATACTGCTTAATATTATAGCAGAGCCTCGACAACAATATCAATATACACTACGTCATGCGAAATATTATGAAGCAAAATATATAGAAACGACAAAAGTACACTTTTACTAATAAGCTAAACAATTATTCACGTGAAGCAGACATTAAACAAAAAGAAGCTTTAACACATCTTGTAGTGATTTATATCTTATTATATAGTTTTATCATCGATGTTTAGTTATCGTGGCTCAACTATAACAGTATCACAATGACACTGAACAAATTAATATATATATATAT